CGGGTGGCGGGAGGGGCCCGGGCCTCCTGGGCCCTGCGCTGGCTCTGGGCGCCCACTTCGAGGCTGGCAACCTCACCAGGCTGAGCCGCTGCAGCCTGGAGCCCTGCCAGCCCCCTCTGGGCTGCACATGCCAATGCTGAGGGCCGGGTCCCAGCAGGGTCGCTGAGTGCCAGTGAGGGGCGTGGCATTTTCCAGTGCGCAAGCCCCAGGGAACACCAGGCCATCCTTCAGGGCAAACCATCACCTCTTGATGGCCACTATCAATAACTGTGCCCCACTCCCTGCCACCGAAGGGCGTGTCCGTAATGTTTAAACCACAGTGGTAGATGACAGAGACGGATTGATATTTTTAATCCCAGCAGACTATTATGGTTCATATCATGTCTGTCAAATAAATATTATGAATCAGTCCCCGTTATCTTTATGGGGGCAACTTGTCTAGGTGCGGGACCTGGCGGGGAGCTCCTTCCAGTGCCTCCTTCCAATCTTATGTATATATGTGTGAATAGAGAGAGATTTATGGAGCGATTGTCGATAGTAAATGCCCCTGGCGAAGCACATTATCCTCCTGCCTGATGGGCCGAGTGTGGAGAGGGCCCAGCGGCGCAGAGTTCTGAGGAGCTGGGATCCCAGGTTGGGTGAGGCCGACGCCTCCGGTTCTGTTGTCACCGTCTACGCATGGGCCACAGGGCCCTCTGGGACAAGCTGCTTCTTCAGAAGAGGAGGCTGGAGTTCACAGAGGCCCTTAGGCAAGGACCCGGAGGGACTTGGAGGTGGAGACGGCCCTGGGTCAGCACCCTGCTTCTGAGTGGTGCCGTGCACCTTCTCTCTACCCCTGGTTTTCCTGGGTGCCGTGAGCCCTCAGTCTTCTTCCTGGGACCCTTCTAGCTGCCTACCCAACCTAGGACCTCAGTGACTCCCAGCAGGTGGCTTGGATGTTGGCGGGAACAGCTCCCTAAAGGGAATCCTGGTTCTGAAATCCCAGTCCCAGTCCTGCCCACACACTGTCCCTGTCCTCCTAGGTTTGCTTTGGCCACTATACAGTCGCCAGGGCTCCCGGACTCCATCGATGCAGCCGCGCCACCACATTCCTTGGACCTGGCTGTTGGAGCTGCTGCCTTTCTTTCCTGAGCTGGTGTGGGTGTGGAGGCTGGGCCACTTGTCCACTGTCCAGGACGGGTGCAGGCGACATCCTGAGAGGTGGCTGCAAATGTTTCCCAGGCCTGGATCTCCTCTCCCTTTCTAGCCACTCTTCCACACACAAACAGAGAAGAAGACACAGGAGCCCAGGTGTGGACCAGCAGCTTTTCGGCACCCCGGATCGATGCAGAGATGGGCAGGGGTCTGACCCTTAGGTCCTCGTTCCAAGACCCTCTGGTCTTTCGGGTGGGCTTGGGTGAAGTCCCTGCCTCTCTGAGCCCCACCCACCCATGGCCAGCTTGAGTCATATGTACCGCAGGTGGAAACTATTACCCCAGTCAGCGCTGCACTGGCCTGAGGCACTTGGGGACAAGAAGGGGGGCAGATTGGCCTGCCCACCCCCACCTCTCGAGGTGTCACCACTTAGCAGCTTGGACCACAGATGCTCCCCTGGGGAAGGCCCATGGTGGCTCAGGCGATCTCCTCCTGGCCACCCGATGCGGGCCTCCAGCCTTGGGGTGCCCAGTGGCGCAGACACTGGCCTTTACAAATATTCTCCCAGCAATTCCAGCGACGGTTGACAAGGCCAGCACACAGAGGCGCATGAAGTGGCCCAACGCACCCTGAAAAGCACCCTTCAGGGGGATTAAAAAAGCCCAAAACAAAAAACAAATGCCTCTTAGAGGGCAGGTTGTAAATAGGTGGGTATTACTACAAAAATATTTTTGGCTGCAGAAGCACCAGCTAGGAGAGCTGGGGGTGGTTTTTTCCATGGGGACCTTGAACCTGGGCTGTCCACATGGGGTGGCTGACTGTCCCAGGCAGTTTTGTGGGGGATCATTTGTGCTAAAGAGCCCCAAATGGAGAGGACGGTACAGAGCAGCCACCGCAGAAGCAGTAGGCACCAGGGCATTTCCACCACAGAGCTGGTGCTTCAGCCTCCAGCCCGCAGTGCTTTGACGACTCCAGTTGGCCGGCCGGGGCTCTCCTGGGCTCTCCGGCCCAGCCCCTCTCCTGCCTGCTTGACACCTGGGCTATCTCTCTGTTCCCCAAGGCTGCCCCAATTCTGCTTGTGCCAGCCCGCCACCCTGGGGTTAGAAGCTCCAGGCCAAGAGCCTCCGGGCTCTGGACTCTGTGCCCCTCCCAGGGGCTTCTGGGAGAAGCAGGGGCTTCAGCTCCTAACAGCTTTCTGTAGCAGGGGCGCAGCCAAGGGCCCTAGTGGCCTCAGTGTTGGCCGCCTCTGTGGGAGGCGACCCCAGCCGCAGTTCCAGCCTTGCAGGCCTCCCTGAGCAGTCCTCCCACTGCACCGCCCGGCGTGCCCTGACCTGAGCTGGCTAGGCAGGCTGCTGGCTTTTCCTTCCACCCTCAGGCCAAGGCCGCACCGGCCCTTCTGGGCTGATTGCCTTGCTTCTGCCTCAACTGGATGAGCTTGTCCCCCAGCCCCCAAGGACCAGCTTCTGGAAAGTCCCTGGCCCCTGGTTGGACAAGCCTTGGCCTGTCCCTGTCCCCAGAACTCCTGTCTGTCTGCCACCTCTGCTCCACACTGCGGCTCCTTGGGCGCCTTAGTGACCATGCTGCCATCTACCACCTGCTCCTGGGGGAGGTGCCTGCTCTGCCTATGGAGTCAGCCCCGACTCCTGGACAGGGCAGGGTCATCCCTGCCCTACAGATAAGGAAACTGAGGTGTGGGACAGGAGTGGCCTGGCTGTGTGGCTCCTGAGAGGCAGAGCTGGTGTCTGGCCCCCGCCTTGTCCCTCTTGACCACACCTCCCCTGAGGACCTAGGGCCGAGCCCTCGGGACAGATTCTGTGGATGTTTGTTGACTGAGTGAATGATTCCCAGCATTGGTAAACAGCATTCAAATTTCTTTCCTTCCATCCTGTCTGCCCTGGACCCCTAACCCAGAGCCTAAGGCAGGAAGGCAGGGCTGCCACGCTGGGCCGGTGGCTGATGGGAACCCGGTGGAGCCTGCATAGGGTGTGCTCTGCTGGACCCAGGTTCAAATGCAGCTGTCACCACTGCTTGAGGCACATGCCCCCCTCGTTGGGCCTCCAGCCTTGCTGTCCTTGCAGGTTGCTGGGAGTGGTACTGTCCTCTGTACCTTGGCTAAAATGTGTCAGGGAAGGAGCTGGTGTCCTGGGCCCGGGGCTGCTATGCCTAGCCATATAGTTGCAGGCAGTGGGGAAGGTGACACAGGCCGAGAGCACAGGGCTCAAAGGGCTACTGGGTACTTGCTAGGGGCCACCCCAGGTGACAGGGCAGTGTCAGCACTCAAAAGGGCTCTGTCCCACCCTGTGTCCCGTTGGCCCATTCCAGCAGTACCTGGGGTTGTCTGCAGGGATCACTGGCCTTGCCTACAGCTGTGTTGGGGGCTCACCTACTCAGGTGCACCCCCACGGGGCATCTGACCCTCTGGACAGTCCACAACAGCCTCTGTTACTGTGGGCCACCAAGGCAGTCACACAGTAGGGGGGATTGGCAGGGCTCTCAGCCCATAGGCGCCAGGGCTGTGGCGTTTCTGGGCAGTGAGCGCCCCCCACGCGCCCCCCTCCATCCCACCCTCTACTCGGCCCACAGCATACAGCCCCCGTGACAAAGTCCGCTCTGGGAGAGTGCCCTCCCTGCGAGGCCGGCCCTGTGTGGGGTTAGGAGTGGGTGGGGCTGCAGGAGCCCAGGAAGGCGGGGCTTGGCTCTGCGCAGGTAGCTCACACCCAAACCCGAATTCCAGGCGCAGGAGACTGCGGGCGGGCGGCGGGCTGGAAGCGGAGGAGGTTGAAGCCGTCCAGGGCCTGAGAGCTTCCTTTCGTTTTTAAACAAACAAGTCTTGAATTTAAAAGTGAGGGCAGAGAACGACCCAAGGTGTAAAAATAGCCCGGGGCAACAAAGTCTACGTCCAACTCGGGCCACAGCACCCCTGGCGTGGGGCTCTGGAGAAGGGGTCCGCTGTGGCCCTCCCCTGTAGCCGGTTTGTCCTTGGTTGGGTCACGGTTGGAACCCCCTGGTTGTGACAGCAGGAGGTGGGCTGGGGGCGTCCTCTGCAGAGCACGGGTTCCTGGCCTGTTGTGTGAGGGCGCCTCGCCTTTGTGGGTCTCAGTTTCCCCACGTGCGCGCCTGGTGGGTGCTTGGCTTGTGCGGGGGGCCAGGGCTTGGGACAGGCGTGGTGGGGCCGGTCCGGGGTCCCTGCGCGCCCACGGCGGGGCTCTTTGTGCGACTGCTGCAGACAATAGCCTGGTCTGGGCTCCGGGCCCCTCTCCTCCTCCTCCTTCTCCTTCTCCTTCTCCTCCTCCTGCTCTTCCTCCTCCTCCTCCCCTTCCTCCTCCTCCTCCTCTTCGCCCTCCTCCTTCTCGCCTTCGCTGCCTTTGGGCCGCGGGGATTTTGGCAGCCTGGGAGGGTTCTGCTCGGGTCCGCCCACCTCCCCTGTGCCTCGCCCCTCCGCTCGGACACCCCCAGCAGAGGCACACTAGCAAGTTTGCGGGGCGTTCGCAACTCAGCACGGGGCGCGGGCGCGGGCGCGGGCGCGGGCTGCGGGTGCGCGCACCGGCGGGCGGT